TTTCTAACATTCAGCCTCACCCCTAGCCCAACAAGGGTCCTCAGATCCTTTCTGGTTCAACATCTCCAAGGGAAGAATCTCAGTGTGTTTCTCGGAAGATGGGGATGGGGGAGATTTGTTAATCTGTAAAAGATGCGCCCACACCTCCTGTGTGCAGCTCCTCCCCACAGCACCACCTTTAGTGCAGAGGCGCCTGCACTTCTCTAGGTTTCTCTGGTGTAAGCTGCCTTGCTCCTTGTTGGTTTTGCCCACTGCAGGCTCAAGTCTCAGACTTGAAGGTCTTCACTTCTGCATTCCCCCTTCCAAGATTCTGTTTGCTTTTCTCTTCTTTTGTCATCTCCTAACTGGCTCTTGGTTTGTTTGTTTGTTTGTTTGTTTGTTTTGGTGCCTTCTTTATTCTTTTACCATCACTTTAAAAGGGTTTTCAATGAAGAGCAGAAACCAGTGGATATGTTTGATCAACTATGTGTAATTTGGAAGTCTCCCCAGGAAACTTAGACTTGATTTCTCACGTCTGTTAGTCTGGGACCCATCTTGGCTAGGCACTAGCTTGGACAGTGATCAACTTGGCCCATTCCCTGTTTTTAACAAGCTGTCCTACTGATGTGTCTACAAACTCAAAAGTGTCCTTTGACTTCTCATGTTTAATAGCACTGGTATGGAGATCTATCTGCTCTGCCTGTGGTGGAACTACACCAATCTTGAACAAGTGATGTTCTAATACTTACTATGTTTCCCAATTTTATGAAAAGGCTCATATGTCAATAGTTTGAGTATTTTAAATCCAGCCTGTTACCTTTTAAATTCTGTGCCTTTTCATAGCTGAGTTGCACCTTACTAATCTGTGTGATTGTATTTACATGAACATACTACTACTTTGCATTGAATTATAAGGGGATTGCATAGCATTCTTTATGCAGTCGGTGTGTAGTATTGTCAATAACGATGGATGTATGGTATCTGCTCCCAGACTGGCCCATGATAAAGATGTTTTGTTACTGAAAACTGTGGCAGTGGCAGTGGGGATGGTGGCCTGATGGTAGAGATGTGGGGGAGTGGCAGTGAGGGTGACAGTTCTAAGCAGCAAGTGAGAGGATTTTTTAAATTAATTAAATTCCCTTCATTATTAGTACTTGGCTCTTGTTATATAATCTGTAACATTCGGGATACGCCATCATGAATAAAACTTTATCCACAATTGTCGGCGCCCACTTGTGGCCCTGTCCACACCTCTAAAGTTTCATGCAGAGTCAGAGAGTTGAAAAATCAGAATATCTGCACGGGGTGATTGAGAGAAGCCACAGCTTTTTTCATGGTAGTCTTTTCACTCTACAGAAGGACCAGATTTGACTCGTGACTGAAATAGGCAATTATACAACTACAACCATACCCACTTATCAATTAATTGATGTCTCTGTTCCAAAGCATGGAATTGGAGGTTTACAGGGACACAAAAGACAATCTTTATTCTCTAGGAACTTAGCAACAGTACAAAGAAGTACAGGGTTAGCTTCCAGTGAACATGACAGGTTTAAAAGAAGGAGAATTTGGAATGGGTAGCAATAACTGCGCTGGCTGGTTTTTGCGCTTTGTACCCCAACTATAGGATTTACTGCATGGGGTAGTTATTTGCCTACCACATGCTTGGCTTTTCCACCACGCATGGGGCCTGTCTATTCATCTTTGTCTCGCCAGCAGTTTGCACGGTAGTTGGCACAGTCAATAAATGTTTACTGAATGAGGAAGTGAATTCATAGAGGGAGGGAGATCAGGCTGGATCTAGGAAACAGGCAAATGAAGTAGAGAGTATTCCCGGAAGAGGAAGTGTAGTTGGAGTATACAGTGGGTGTTCTGAAATAGATCTCACTGGACAGGACTCAGTGGGTCAGTTCAGTTCATTTCAGTCACTCAGTTGTGTCCAACTCTTTGCGACCCCTTGGACTGCAGCACGCCAGGCTTCCCTCTCCATTACCAGCTCCTGGAGCTTACTCAAACTCATGTCCATCGAGTCAGTGATGCCATCCAACCATCTCATACTCTGCCGTCCCCTTCTCCTCTTGCCTTAGAGCCAGATTGTAAAGAGACTCAAAAACCCATTTATAGAGTTTGAACTTTATCCTTTAGGGAAAAGGTGGGCTGTTGGTATATTTAGTGAAGGAGAGGGATTTGACAAAGGAAGATTAGGAAGATTCACTTGTCAACCCCAAGGACAGTGAACTGGTTGAAGAGACTAGAGCCAAAAAGGATAGTTAGGAGGCTATTGCAGTGGTTCAAGTAAGAAATGCTGACAGCCTGGATAGAATGCTTGGTGGTAGGAAAGTAAAGGAAGAAATAGGTATGATGAAAAAATATATAAGAATAATCTACTTAAAAATTCCAAAAAATATCTTGTGGACACATCAGGTTAGGATTTTTTGTTATCAGACTGTTTTTCAGCAGCTTTTATAATATGAGTGCCAATTTTGAGCATACATTCGACTGCCACTTAGAGTGAGGTGAAGGGGAGCCGGTGAATGAATGCTTTGACCTAACATATTCAGAGGAAGGGTCCAAGAACCAGGTTCCCATGGTGGAACTGCTGTAGCTCTGCATCTTTCAGCCTCTCCTCTTCTAGCTGAGTGCAGGCCTGCAAACTGCAGAGAATTTGGCTTCCTCCGGAAACGAAGGGCTGCACTTGATCATGGTGTGGGGACAGGACATGATAGGGCTGTCATTTCCCATAGTCTCATAAAAGCCCCGGAGTCCCCTTCTTCATGGATTTAATCAGATCCAATACTTGAAAAATGATTATACTTCCGGCCCTAACCCTTACAAGTTGAGGGTTAGGGCTGGAAGTCCTGAACTGTGTAGAGCAATGGCGAGGAGCGTTTCCTGAGTAGGGGGAGGGGAAGGAGACAAATCTGAAGGAACTTGAGTGGTCCGTGGTTTAAATTCCAATTTTTATGTAAATATTTGTACTGTCGAGGCTTAGGTCATATGGACGACAAAATTATTCAATACCATAACCATTCGGAAAAAGCTTTTGAAGTGAAGATAATGTCATATTCATAATAAGCAGAACTGAATACTTCTGTAGATATAGCAACATAAAGAAAAAGATATAATAAGTAATGTGCAACACTGAAATATTAATACTTCCACAAAAAAATTCTTGGTCAACTTGTTTTTTTTTAAATGAACCCACAAAAATTGCAAACATTAATACTGTGGCTTGGACCTAAGCTTGGATCTTGCTTCTTCAATTTGAAATTCTTTTGTGTTCTTTATTCACCCCAATGATCAGAAGTGGCCTTAGATTTCAGCAGTTAAGTGCTTCATGATCTCTTGAACAGGTTAAATAAATAGTATCTATAATCCCCAAATTTAACACAATGTGTTATTAAATGGGGAAGAGAATGAACCATTATCCTTTGTATTTGAGGATGACTCCACTCATGGTGATCCTTGATCATGTGTGCAAGCTACAAGGAGATGTGAATGACCCGTTCCTTCCTAAACTGTAATCAAAGGCCACCTGGGCTCATTTTAGCCTTGCCTGCAGGATCCTTCTTTCCATATTAGCTTAATAGTAATGGCACAGCAATACTGTTACTGCTACTGAGGATAATGGTGATGCCATCAATATAATAGTAGGAGACTTAATAACCAATGTTCTTATTGATCTTTTATCAAAACCCTGTAAGGTGGGCAAGGAAATTATTCCCCTATTTTCTGACCACTGGACACCAAAGTCATCTGTTTTCAAGAATATTGAAAATGGAAAAATACCTATTTTCTCTTAAATATTAGTAAAATAATATCTATGCATTGTTTAAACTTGATAACTAATTGCTGTTTTTCTATCCCCAAATGGTACCTTCCCACCCATGAAAAGCCAAATCAAAGACACAGTTCCCATTCTTCTATTCCTTTTTTTAATATGGATTTTAATGGTAATTTTATTCCAAACCCCACACAAACATAAATACTGCATTAAAGGAAGATGAATTTATTTTGACCTTTACTGAAAATGCACTGTGAAACAAAGCACTTAAGCATTTATGGCCTGTTAGACATTCACATTACCCACTTCCATGTGGATAAGAAAGTCCTTCCCAGCAAAAGTAATGTTCACAAGTGGAGCAGTTTTACAGAGCACTTAACTGCAAAGCTAGATATCATGTTCTTCACTATGACTCTGTTTTGGTCGGTTTTATGCATCTAAGATCTATAGAAATTAAGGGAGTATCTAAAATGTTACATTCAAGAAACATAGAGGATGACATTTTCTTATGGGTTTTGATGAAAATACAGGATATTTGCAACAAAATGCTTGGGGAAAATCATTATTTATTACCAAGGAGATGGAGTGTATTGAGGTTTTGTTTTTGTTTCTTTTAAAATCCTGTCTCCCACCTCCCTTCGAAGAAATTGGTGATATTGTTTCAGTAATTTTTGGTTAAAAGTGGCTTCAGTTCTAATTATAATTACTAACATAGGGTCCCCTCAAAATAAAATACCCTCTCCTCGCATGAACAGAAATGAGTATTTTTGTAGATTTTATTTTTGGACATAATCTTTTGCCTTTAGTCATAGGCTTCTGACTGCAGAGCTATTTCCTCCTTCCAGATTCTTGTGTCAGAGAGTTGAGATGTTAAACCACAGCAACCATGAAACTTTAAAATCCCTGATGCATGATGAATGGGTGCTGGGCAAAGCAGCTTAAAATCTATGCTTTTGCTTCTCTTTAAACACTTTAAATTGACAGCGCCATAGATCAAACATTTTTACTGAGAGGAGAAGCTTTGGCAATTTAACTTAAACAAGTGCACAGTTACCATCATCTCAAGACCTCACCCCTCCACAATTACCCCTTCCACCTGGCGGATTGGGTACATTTCTCATTGAGAGCAGGCTGTGTGTGCGCGCGCCTGTGTGTGCGCGCAGCTGTACTACAGGGCAGCCTCTTGGAACGGCTAGGTGACACCCCACGCAACTTCCCCCACCGCCCCCGACCCCACCCATCTCTTCCATCCCCGCAGGCCGGGGCGAACTGGGGGCCTTTCACCCGCGGTCGGGACCAGCCGCGGAGCATGCGCCGCGCTCGCGCCCCCGCCCTCCGCTACCTTGGCCTGCCCCCAACCCGACGCTCTTCTTCTTCCCCCTCCGCGTCTGCCTCCCCGCCCCCTCCAGGAGCCGCGGAGTTGGCGAGCTGCCCATTCAGGCGTTCAGCGTCAGCTCCTCAGGGATCAGCAGGCAAAGTCACAGTCTGCACAAACAGAGCTTTCAAATTCATAAAATTCATAGGATTTTTCACAAATGAATGAACACAATTTTCTACCAATTTCCTCATTATGCAAATATGCAAAATATCAAATTTAGGCCAATTAGGGTCCTCCACAGTCCCAAATTCACCCGTTTAAGCCATAATTGCAGAAACTATCAAATAATTACGGTCGCTAATTGGAAATATTTGTGACAGATACAACAAATTCTTGCACAAATTACATTTCATTCGAGGAACCACTGCGCGCCACTGAAATTTTATCGAAGTCTAATTTAACTTACATAATGAGTTGAATTGAGTACTTGTTATCAAATTTGAGCAATTCATAGCCCCGTAATGTGGAATGATCAAATAAATTAAAAGGGAATTTATTCAATATTTTGTTGTGATCCTTTTCTCGGAACCACTGCTATTTTGTAGGGAATTTCCTCCTCCCGCGGCCCGGGGCCGGGGCCTGGTGTCACGCAAGCCCCGGCTGTGCGCGCCGCGCGGCGGCAGCGGCGGCCCGAGCAGGCGGCGGACGAGCGGCAGCCGCAGCCGGAGCCTCCGCCTGGGGCGGCCGCCGCCCGGACATTCAGCTCCGCGGGCGCCGAGCCGTCGGAAGTCCGCTCGGCCCGGTGGCTTTGTTTTATTGAACTGGGTGGAAGGATCCGCGAATACTTCCGGGTGACGCGAGGGGAGTTCTAGAAATGGATCCGATTTCTGGAAGTGTAAATACAAACACGCCCCCACACTCGTGCCGCGCGCGCGTCCTACACACCTGCCCACGCACATCGCAAACGGACACACGCAGCACACAAGCGCCCACCTACACCCCACAGGCACCCGCCCCCTATGCCCCGGTGGTCCGCGCACACGCCACATGCACACGCCACATACAAGTGCACAGTGCTTCACACACCATCAGACACACGCTTACATCCTCGCGGGCGCACACACGGGGCCGCCCGCACACCGCGCGGGCCTGAGCGGGCCGTGCGCGGCCGGGGTGGCTGGAACGCGGAGGGAGGGCAGGGCGCGCTCCCTCGGAGGTCTTCTATTCCCCGCCGGCCCGCCAAGGGTTAACCGCCGGCTGGGGTCCCGCGACGGTGGCGCGTGTGCACGCGCGTACACGCGCGCAAACACGCGCGCACGCACTAGCTAGGGGCGCTCTTCCCCTCTCCCCCAGGCCTTTGTGTGTGTCTTCGGGAGGGGTAAACGCGGGGGTAATTCAATGTCTCTCTAACCAAGAGTCTCCCTGACACGAATCCACGCAGCCCCTTAGCGAGTGTGCCCCCGCCTGGGCACAAACACACGCGTCGCTAGAATTACCCTCTCCGGAAGGTCAGCCTCGCAGACAGGGCATTCATTTTCCCTTTGCACAGCCCCGCACACACATTCACTAGCACATTTTTTCCCCGACTGCCTTGTGGCCTCGTTGGCGGATTATAAATGTCTCCGTCTCCCTGTGATTTGTTTAATCCGTGGAAATGGTGCCGGTCCTATGTAAACAAGCCAAGTGCGGAATGAAGGCAGTCACCCATGCGTGGCCAGCCTGCCTATTTGTCAGAAAACCTTCATAAATACTGAGCCGGGGCTGGGCAAGGATGTGATGTCTCCATTTTTGCCAGGAAAGGGCACGAGGAAGACAAAGCGAGGCACGGCAGCGTGTAACCTTTAAGGGACAGACCGTCCGGGGGCCCAGAGGCCCGGGGAGCTCCCGGCTAAGTCAGCGCGGGAGGATGGCTGATGCAGGCCGGCCGCGGCTCTGGCGTCTGCTGGGCGCGAGGAGGCAGGGCCCGGGCATTCATAGCTTGGAGCACAGAGAGACGCCGCGCCTCCCTAGGCTGGGCCCGCGGGGCCGAGGCCTTATTGCTGGACTGGAGTTGCCCCTTGAGGAGGGAATCCCAGGCACCCATGTATCTCCAGGCTTAGTCATCCCTCCTTGTAAATCTTTCTGAATATTACACTTCCAACTTCGCCCAGATTCATCCAAATCAAATTCCTGGTGTCTCGGGACAGGTATTGGCAGGGCAAAGCTGCGGACCCATCTCTCTGTTTGTCAAAGTGCCCCGCTGTGACCCATCCAAACTCTGCCTACCTTGGACATGTGGCCTGGTTCCCAAACCTGCCTTTTCTTTTAAAAAGAACAATGCATATGTGGCTAATTACACACTCCTAACAAAAGCAGTAATTACTGCCTGTAATTATCATGGTCCTTATTTAGAAAAAATGTGAGAAAATGTTGAGTATTAAAACATGAAAGCAGCTATTAATCAAACCTTTACACCTTCTTTAACTCAGGCGTAATGGTGGGTATTATCATAAATCTACTCTGATAGTAACACAAGAATAATGAGTTCAGTAATGATAGCGATGATGATCATAATGATTTTAACCAACAAAGAATGGTGTAGATTTATTGCTAATAATGTGGTACAGGAGCCTCTTTCATTAAAATTACCTATGTGTGTTCTCACTGGGGTAACCTGCATGTGTGGTGAGTGTGTGTATGTGTGTTTGTGTCACCACCTTCCCTTTCTGGCTAAAGATCAAAACTTCTTACTGGGTGAGACCTCATTTGAGAAAGTCTTTATCTGCCTCCCTTTCTGGCCTCGGAGTTCTCCCTTCTCCTTAGAAGAATCTAGAACATCCAAAAATATGTTAACTGGGTGGTACCCACTGGAAAGAGAGTTGGGATGGTTGAGATGGATGTGGAAGGCCTAGGGCCTGGAAAGAAAGCAGATTGTCAGGGGCAGGCCTCCTCTCCCTCCGTCCTGCCCAGTTCCTCACCCCCACACCCTGCCCAGAGAAGGTCACTGTAGGGGTGGGGGAGCAGAGGACCGTCTTCTGCAAGGGCAGGTCCTCAAGGTCACAGTCTGCTATGCAGGACTGGTTGGTTTGGTGCTGTGATTGACACGATGGAAAGGGGAGGGGGTGGAGATTCTACTCCTAGAGACTCCAGCAGCTTTCAGACATGCCTTCCCTTCCCCACTGAAGCAGAGCCCTCAGTGTAACCTGGGGCCTGGGTTGTTGGGGCCACAGAGATTGTGACGGAAAGGAGGGCTTAGAGACCCTTAAACTCTCAGAAGGGTGGATGCCTTAGGGCTTAGCCAGGTGGAAAATACAATAAACAGAGGGAATGTTCAGGTCACCTGTGTCCTTGTATTTTAATGAAATTAACTTAGCATTTGTCTTTTGCAGATGTTCTAAAAATTATCAGTGGAAATCCATGTTTTAATGTAAACTATAGTACTAAACATTCGATTAAAAAAAGAATCTTAGTTTTTGGACATTTCGCTACACCTTAGTGAGGTGAAAACCTCAGGACTTCAAACTCCAAAACCTAATTTTGGCCCTCAACTTTCAGCCCTAAGCTAACTTGCCAAAGCAGATCGTAAACTTTATGCAGATTTATAAGAAGGAAGCTCTGAAAGCTTGAACTCCCAGAGATCACTCAGAAAACATAACTACCCTTCCTCAAGTCCCTGAACAGAAAAAAAGTAAATGTAGCTAGTTCAAAATCTGTAGACATACTTCATAGTTTTCTCATTCTAGTCTGGTTATATTTTCTGATGCCAGCCTTTCCAATTAACTGTGAAATTCTGACAGTTATGGAGTATGGAATGCAGTGGTAACATAATTAGAACTTATACATAATAAATAATACATCTGTAGTATTTTAACCTCCACTACCAGTTATGAGATCAGTGTGGGCCAATTAACTATAGGGTTTTTTTTTTAACTAAGGCACTATAAACACACTGGTTTTAAATGTTCTAATTAGTAACTTGCCCATTAATTAACTTTCTGATTAATTGTGTAGCAATCTAATTTGTAGATGAGCCACTGAAAGACTGATACCTTGTAATTCTTTCTTCTGTCTTTCAAATTCCCCCATAAAATGTGATTTTTATATCCAGCTGGCCTCTTACTTGTGGAAATTCTTTGCTTAAGAGATGCTGTGCCTTTGGACTAAAACTAAATTTCACTTAATCCTCCTAAAACTAAATTTCACTTAATCCTCCCCTATCTGGAGTGTACTGGTGGGCAGGAGGCAGTGGGGGGAGTAGGGGTAGGCAATCTGGAGCAGAGCACTGCAAATTATCGGAGGAAGTGAAATGGGGGCCAAACTGACTCTATATACTTAAGCCTGAATCCTCTCCTAATGAGAGAACAGTTACCTATGACTTTCATCACAAACAGTTCTCAAACCCAAAAACCTCTTTAGGGGAAAAGAAATATAATTTTTAAAGAAAACTTATTGTGGCCTCCACACCCCTATCATGGACTAGCCCAGGGGATAATTTAATGCAGTGGACAAAGGGCTAATGGCCATTTTCAATAAAGGCTGCCTTGCACTGGAACATCCTGGGGCTGTTCTATTAGCATCAGAAAGGGCTTGGGGTCCTGCTTCCACCAGAGCTATTGTTGCCCGGGTGTGTCGCCAGTCCCATCCTGCAGAAAGCCTTTAGCCCTGATGGCAGATGATTCTCTAAGTGAATAGAGATGAAGGCAGGGATATTAAGTGACTCTATAAAACATCCCGGACACAATTGTGTGATTGATGGAGGACAAAGTGGGAACAGCAGGACACAGGATCCTGGGAGAAGCAGCCTTGTCAATGCGAGAAACCCATCTCTGGAAACAGCTTCTCCTGGAGGAGTTTGCAGTCTATTTGTATGAGTAATCAGCTGGGCCCCCTCTCTGTCAGCCCTGTTTACTCACTGATTTTCTCAACAAGACAACCATTGACACTGGATGGATGGGGCTAATCTGGCGCAGAACTGGCGGCTTCGCAGAGGCTACAGGTCGAAAATAGAGCGCGGTGCCAGCTTCACCTCGCCTAATCTAGCGGCTAATATTTATTAGAGCCAATTTATACCGCTGCTCTCTCAAAGAGCAAGGAAGGCCCGGGTGCAATTAATAACATGGGCAATAACCACAGACAAACAAATAAATAAGGGTTTGTGAACTGTTTGGTTGGTTTTAAGGGAGAATGGGAAGGGAAAGTGTTGGGCTTGCCACTTAGAGCAGGAAGGAGAGGAAGGAAAGGTGGCCATAAAGCCCCTGAAGATGCTCTTTCTCCTTGTCCCCCTCATCCAGTCTCAGAACAACAACCTAGCTGACTGAATGACGGCTTTGGAACCTGCACAAATGCATGTAATTCCACTTGCATCTAACAGAATCTGTGCAAAGACACCTGCCCTCACAGACAGAGGTGCGTGCGCAGGCTCCTGTTGTAAATATCCAGTTTATGCGCATCCCCACCCCCAGGCAGAGGGAAACACAGATCGCACGCCTGGCCTTGCGCTCAACAGCCAAGCCCCGCAGCCACCGAGAAGAGCTGGGCGGTAGGAGCTGAGGAGATGGGGGAGAGGAGAGAACGCAGATAGCGCACCAAGCTGACGGACACGGAGGTCTTAAAGCTTCAGACCCCGCCTTCTAAGATCCATGTCCTAGTTCCCCGAGGCCTGTTGTAGAGATGCTACCAGTTGCTGATTTTGCTATGTTTGGATGCTTAACGTGATTTTGTCGGGCAAACTGGAGAGAAATAGAAAGACAAAGTGTGTGTGTGCTCCAGGGTGCGTCGTGACTCTGGAGTCGGGTGGGATCGAATTGCGGAAAGGCACACGTTGCAAAGGGCTGGTAGGAAGCGCATTGTTCTTAACTGGGCGCCCCAGCAGCCGGGCTGGTGCACAAG